CGCGCCCCTGGTGGACTTCCTCATGCAGCTGGAGGACTACACGCCCACCGTGAGCGCGGGGCCGGGGGCCTGGGCCGGGCTGCACCGCCTCCCCCGGGCCCACGCCGCCTGACGCTCTCCCGTTGCAGATCCCGGATGCTGTCACGGGCTATTACCTCAACCGAGCCGGCTTTGAGGCCTCCGACCCGCGCATGTAAGTGACGCTGGGAGCGCGGGGCCGCGGCCTGGTGCCTGTGTCCTAACCTAACGCCTCCCCCTGTGCCGCAGCATCCGCCTGATCTCGCTGGCCGCGCAGAAGTTCATCTCGGACATTGCCAACGACGCCCTGCAGCACTGCAAGATGAAGGGCACGGCCTCGGGCAGCTCCCGCAACAAGAGCAAGGTGAGGGGCAGGGCGGGGAACGGGGCTCGGCGCGGGACGAGACCGCGCCGCGGTGGTGGGAGAGGGGGCACGGTCGGGGCCGCACGGCAGCGGGGGCATGACGGCGCCCGTCCCGCAGGACAAGAAGTACACGCTGACCATGGAGGACCTGACCCCGGCACTCGCTGAGTACGGCATCAACGTGAAGAAGCCGCATTACTTCACCTAGTGCCTGCGCCACAGGCCTGCCGCAGCCGGGCCTGGGCAGAGGGGCAGGACCCTGTCTGTCATTAAACCATGGACTTCGAGGTACTGGCTTCTCTGCAGTGCCATCTGCCTCGCCCGCTCGCTTGCGCCTGACCTGGCACCGTGCTTTGCCCATGCCACGGATGGGTTTGCCAGGGCACGGGAGCCTGGTCCCTGCAGTGGTGGGGTGGGCAGAGCGGCCGCAGGATTTGGGGCTCTGCATCATCTTAGCACCAGGCAGCCCTTGGCCCGTGTGCCGTTGGGTGCTCCCAGCCCCAGTTGCTGTGGCAAAACATGCATCCTGTTCCCAGGAGCAGGCAGCCACGGGGGTTCCAGGTCCTGCCGCTGCGGTGGCTGAACGAGGAAAGGTGGAGAGGCCGAGCACGGCTCAACGTTCCCTGCAGGGCAGTCGCACGGGCCTGGCCCTGCCCCGCGGCCCCGGGTCAGGCTGCTCCTCCTTGGGCAGGGCAGGGCACCCCACCCACCCCCCGCCCCGCGTGGTCACTGCAGTGCCCCGCCCAGCCACACGTGGCCCCTGGCAGGCCACCCCACCCCACCCCACCCCTGCACTCAGCCACGCGTGGCCTGCTTTTGTAACAAAGATTTATTCAGACGCTGGTGGTTTTCCCGTGGAGCCTGGATGGAAACAATGACAAAGTGAAGCGCGAAGCCGGGGTGGCGCCGGCCTTGGGCAGGCCAGCCCCAAACCTCCCCCCCTGCCACAGGGGAGAGGCTGGTGGGAGGGGCAGGTCCTGGAGAGCACCAGGGGAGCACAGGGCAAGGGCTGCAGAGAGTGGAGATCAGCCTGGGCCTGGGGCTCCACGTCCTGTGGCCGACAGAGCCCGGCCTCACCCTATGTCCAGGGCTGCCCAGAGCCAGGCCCCTACACAGCCTGCACCCGTCGCTGCTTGGAGCAGTGTCGGTTGCGGCAGGGGTGAGGGGGCATTGCAGTGCCTGGAGCAGGGGCGGCAGCGTCGTCTGTACCGTGTGTCCGTGGCCGGCTCGGGCGGGGGCCCTGGCACCTCCCGAAGGCACTTGGGGGCGGCGGGGGAAGCTGGTGGCGGCAGCTGGGTGGGCGCGGGGGCTACTTGTCCTGCATCTTCTCCAGGATGGGCACGATCATGTCAAACTTGGGGCGCTTGGCCGGGTCCTCGTTCATGCAGATCCTCATCAGCTTGCAGATGTGCGGCGAGATGCCGGGAGGGATGGTTGGGCGCAACCCCTCCAGCGCCACCTGCCCACAAGCAGCCCCCGGCCAGGTCAGGGTCGGGGACCCAAGGGCTACAGCCCAGCCCCCCCAGGCCTGCCCCCCACCCCCAGCACTGACCTTCATGCCGATCTCCATGTTGGAGAGGTCGGCGAAGGGCACCTCGCGCGTCACCAGCTCCCAAAGCAGCACCGCGAAGCTCCACATGTCGGCCGAGCGCCGGTTGATCTCCTCGGGCTTCTTCTGCAGCGCTGCGGGGAGGCCGTGGGCAGACGTGAGCGGGGGCACACCAGGGTTGCTGGCACCTGACCCCCTCCCACCAGGCCCTGCCCGCACTCACCTTCCGGTGCCACCCACGCTGGGGCGTACATCCTGCCGGGGCACTGGAAGGAGAACTTGGCGTCGGCCATGCTGATGCGCGCCGTCATGTCCTCATCGATCTGTGGGGAGAGGGGGTCAGTGGGGTGAGGAGGGGCGGCGGGTGGGGGCCAGGTGGGCCTGCAGCGCACTCACCATGACGCTGCGGCTGTTGAGGTGGTGCCGGGGGATGAGGGGCTCCAGCGTGTGCAGGAAGGCCATGCCCCGCGCGATGTCCAGCGCAAACTTCACTGCCTGCATCTGGTCCACCACGAAGTCTGCAGGGGGGACACGGGCGGGGTCGGTGCTGGGGGCGGGACCAGGGATGGGACAGCACCCCCTTCACCCCCACCCCCACACTCACTCGTGCCCTCGTGCAGCACGTTGTAGAGGGATCCGTAGGGCATCCAGTGTGTGATGATGATGGGGTGGGGCGCGGGTGGCGCCTGGCAGGCACCCAGCACAGGCAGCACGTTGGGGTGCGAGAAGATCCTGCGAGAGGTAGGGCCTGAGCACCGCAGGCTCCCCGGGCCCATCCCCACCACCCAGCCCCTCACACTCCAGCCTTGGCCCAGCCCCCCACGCCGTGGCCAGGCCCCCAGCCCCACCGGAGCTTGGGGTACTCCTCGTTGAAGTCGCGGCTCTTCCGAGTCGTCCAGTCCCGGATCTTCAGCACCTTGATGACGATGTCGTTGCCCTGCCAGCGCCCCCTCCACAGCTGTCGAGACACGGACGGGGTCAGCAGGGCGGATGACGGGGTATGGGCCCCTCTGCTCTTCCCGCCTGGCCCCCCGTGCAGGCAGGAGGAGGGCACGCGCGGACTAAGGGGTGAGC